TGAATTGCCAAATTGACACTTGTTTGCTTTCTGACATTCTGTTATTATTTATTTTCACGGCCTACTCCGGCAAATAAGCATGGAATTAATTAATGGCTAGGTATTTCTCTGAAAAATATTGAATAACTTGGTTTAGACACAGACACAGGACATCTCGTATAAAAATTGAAGAGAAACAAGAACTATCGAATGGCGAAGTAAAATAGTGTGTAGCTCTATTTGAAAAAAAGGTATGGCAATTCAGAATTCAAAATTACCATTTCCTTATGAGCACCCTGTATAACTAAATTCAACTTTCTCATTATCAAAATGTTACCCTTTACTTGGATTATCATTCTCTTCATACTCAAAGGTATTTTTTAACTTCAAAAAACAAGGTCGCTACGATTTATCAAACTAGGGCTTGCTTATGGAAAATTATTCGGAAAAAAATTAATAAGATGGCAACATTTAAAAAATCAAAAAGTAAATAATAATAAACAGCTAGAACTTTTACACACTACTTGCACATCTTACAACTTCCGAATTACCTGCACACCAACATGCAAAAGTACTATTGAAAACGCTAACATCGTTACAAGGTTCCTTAACCAATGATTTATTTCAAAATTCAAAATTCTAAAAATTTCCGACGGACGGACAGAGAAAGTGACTGCAATACCGCACCCAACTTCGTTGGAAAATGCGCTAAAAAGTTTATGCTTTAAAGGATCGATTGGTGCAACCCAATTTACCAAATCATTTTTGGTTGTCTCGGAAACAAACTTCAAGGTTAATAGCTGATTTCCCGTGAACTATTTATCGAATTTGGACGTATTTTTTTTAATGTGTTTTTCCGAGAGCTTTTGCTATATTTCGGAAGTTATTTGTGCGCTAAGAACATTTTTCGGATTTTGAAAAAAAATACCAGTCTGTCGCTTTGCAAAAATTATAGGGAAAATTGTTGGAAAGCTTGTTTTAGGGTTCTACTATGTGTAAAAAAAATTGAAAACTCTGAAAGTCGCCCAGATTGAAACATAAAACATTACTTTTTTAATTTGTGAATTTCAAATGAACCTTCAAAACTCCAGTTCTTTCCCATTAACCTTCTTTCCAATTTAGTTTTATCATGATAAATAAAGAAATGGTCTGTATAATTTTTTTACATTAATCAACAAATGATACTATTTATTAAATTAAATTTCTTTTCCAGATCTTCCATTATGTCGGCGATGTGTAACCATTTTATTTCGGGGACACTGTTACATGCTGTGGTGCCGCCATTTAATATGCAAGAGGTGCATCCATTTCCTTCCGACAAAGGTCGAGGCAATCATGCTATATGAGTGCCCCGCCTGTGGTGTTTTTGGGGATGTGGAATTATTATTTGGATGATTGAGTTTTATATTTTAGTTTTAAGCCTCGTTGTTGTTTTAAGCCTCGTTGTAGTTTTAAGCCTCGTTGTAGTTTTAAGCCTCATTGTAGTTTTAAGCCTCATTGTATGTAGTTTAAGCTTCGTAGTAGATTTTTAGCGTTGTTATAGATTTAGAGTTGTACTTTGGATAGCTGCGTTGTAGTTTCAATATAATAAAAAAGTATTGCAATGTGGAAACATCAATTTTATTTTTACGAGTATGGTAAATAAGTATCATATTTCTGAATTCACATTGAACCTTCTAATAACTATTAATTTGATGGACGGTTCTTGGAAGCTGAAGCTTCTGTGGTGAACTGATCGTTTGCCCACTTCCCATGGTACAGTCTACTCTTGATAATTTAAACTCCCAGTAATTCAAAGAAAAAGCTGTCTCTAGACTGTAATTAATTATGCCATAGCCTACTCCGTAATTAATCAGGTAACTCGTTTCATGCTATTCGCTTATTGATTTTACAAAAATGAGTGTTTGTGTCATATATTGCCCGCCATAAGTATTCCGAACACCCAGCGTACTTTGATTAATTTTGATGAACATTTTTCAGCACAGTTGTATTTATTTCGAAAGAAGAAACGATGAAATTTTGAACATTAAACAAATTAAAGTAACAATAAGTAATATAACTCTCGCCAGGAAAGATTGCCGGTCACAGCACACCTTGTGTCGATCTACAATCTATGTTTTTCTTAAGATGCGAGCGACTTCCGAAATAGGATCGTGCCAATGTTGAACGAAAAGTCTTTTTGTTCAACATTGACACGATACTACCCCGGAAGTCGCTCACATCTTTAGAAAAACATAGATTGCAGACCTAGATCAAGTGTTCTGTGACCGGCAATCTTTCCTGGCGAGAGGTTTAATAATGCTTCCATGCCCTTCCAGTTCGCTGGATCGTGCGGGTTATGATGGGTAGGAGACTAAATACTTTACAACCAACCACCTGTAAACACTTTAGTAAACAGTTTACATGATCTTCACAGGCGTCTTAGAATCTTGCAACAGTGTATCACAGTCTGGGATCGATTCACTCATTTTCAGTATGCCCAGTCGAGCAGGAATCGATGTAATGATCTATACAATATTAGTGTAGTTCGAATTTTTTTGTAATTGTATCATATTTCGAAATAAATACAATTTTTCTGAAAATTTTATCAAAATTGATCAAAAGTAACATTAGATGTTGAGGTAACGGGCGATGAAAAATGAATTGCTGTCGAGTCGCCTTTGGAAGTTGAAGTTAAGTACAATTTCCCATCCAAACAAAAACTCCCAACTCGACAGCAACTCATTTTTGATCACGGCGGGCAATATATTTGGTCTAGAATATACGTACTTCATTGTTACCATTACCACAGCATACTTTGAGTAAACTCATTTTTCGCCTACATATAGGTAACCGTCCCGATTCACATTTATGGTATATGAACTTAGTAACACGTAGTGATGCAAAAAGGTACAAGAGAAAAGAATAAACTTTTATTAAAGCTTAAAGCATGCAATTTTAAGTCATGACATTGCAGGTTGTCAAGATTTTGTTAGTTAAGTAGTTAAACCATTATTGATTTAATGTCCAGGTGGTATTTCTTCATCAACGCCGTCTATATTAAATCAGTTTTGCTATCGCTATTAAAATATATAAATTGAGAATTTATACCCTGGAGGTTATGCAACTGGGTTGTTATTTTTGGCTACAACTCAACCGAATGTTCCAATTTTCACCACAAAGCGCCACGGTAATATCTTCGTAGTAGTGGTTTTATATATACGATAGTGTGATCCTAGGGTCGTACTATAGCGAATAGGATCAGAGTATCGGTTTGATATATTGATATGTTTGAATAGGATGGTAGTATGCAAGATATATATATATATATTTAAGTCTTTTAGTAATAGCATTGATTTATACTCATTATCTCTTACTAAGCTAATCGTCCAAAATGGAAATTGTATTATTTAGGTATTATTAAATGTTGTTGCATCTTTAAACATCTACACTTTTATTTATGAAACGAGAGCAACTTATAATTATTGGATCAAAGGAACTTACCTATGTGAAGTTCGATCCAAATTATTAGTTGCTCTCGTTGAAATAAATAAGTCCCACCCATCCCTAACCCTTTCAGCAACAACATTACCTTTAAAGGAATGACACTTAACGACAGAGCGCCGGCGCAGGATGGTGGCGTTGGTTTTCTTTCTATAAACGTTGTGGTTCAGTGGCGTAGAAAAGGGGGTACTACACTTTTATTTATTTCAACGAGAGCAACTAATAATTTGGATCGAACTTCACATAGGTAAGTTCCTTTGATCCAATAATTATTGTACATTATAACTACCAATAATAAAAACCCTATACATATAATCAGTCCAATTCTATAACTTGAAATAACCTTAGCAACTTGCTATAGTGAAGGTAAATTGCTAACATGATCATAATAAATGCTGATCATGTAGCAATTACCTTCACTATTAGCAAGTTGCTAAGGTTATTTCAAGTTACAGAATTGGACTGATCATTCTATGATTAAGCAATAAAATGAAAGGGAACAAATATTAATTATAAAAAGTGACCAACAAACAGGTGACTACAAGATAATTCGTCAAACTAGATATAAAGAACACTCCATTACAACCTTCAGTAGGTAGGTAAATGAATTATAACTTAACCTAAAGAAATCACACATACAATAAAAAAAACAAGGAATACAAATAATTTTTACAGATAAAAAACTATCATAATCAAAGTTCAGTCAATGAATAATTAACTTAACATAATTAAATAAAGAAATCCCATGTGACTGCATTGGATAGGGGAGACCGGGGCACAGTGAAACACGGGGCACAATAAAACAGGTACATTTTTCATAATCCCTTTTATGAATATGGCGGCGCCATCTTATGCACAGCAAACTGAGTGTATAAGCGAAGTTTTAAACCAAGAAGTAAGTATGTATAGTTTACTTCTCTCTGTGTATCTAACGCGCTACTAAAATTTTCAACTAAAGTAAATTTTAAGTTTCGGAGCAATTTTGTTGTGTATGGTCCTGTTATCAAGAAAATTCAATCTGCTAGTGATTAACCCGCGCTTCCTAGTAGTAGTATTAACTTGGTAAGTTACAATTTTGATATATTTAGTACATGTATAATTTTAACCTAAAACTGTGTAAAATTGCAAGTTGGGTGGGTTACAATGAAACAGTTTGGTTTGGGGCACAATGAAACATGTTTCATTGTGCCCCAGCTTAAAAAAAAAGCGTTTTTCTTTCAGGATTTATGGTACGAAACAGAGTCCGTAAAAGTGAAAAAGGAAGCTTTTCTGAGGATTCTATGCGCGAAGCCGTTAATTTGGTTAATCAGGGAATGAGTTTGCGAAAGGCAGCTCACCAAACTGGTTTAAATTTTTCAACTGTTTTTCGGTGAGTTGCTGTTTTGTTTTTAAAAATTACCTACCTACCAAAAATCTTACTCTATCAATTAAGCATTACCTATTGTTTTCCAGGTAGATAAATGAATGTTTTAATTTCAGGTATGTTAAGAAGAAAACTAAAGCACAAGAAAATGAAGAAGTCCGAATGAATCCTAACTACCAGGTCAGACAAATTTTCACCAGGGAGCAAGAGGAAACTTTATCGCATTATATAGTAACTTGTGCACGCATGTTTTATGGACTACCGACTTTAGAAATTAGGCGAGTTGCTTATCAGGTGGCACAGGCCAATTCCATTAAGTATCCGGAAAAATGGAACCATGAAGAAATGGCTGGTGTTGAATGGTTATACGGCTTTATGAAGAGACATCCAATGCTAAGTGTCCGTACTCCAGAAGGATGTAGTTTATCCAGAGCAACTGCTTTTAATGAGCATAATGTTCAGATATTTTTCGATAATCTGAATAAAGTTTATGAGAGTAACCCTGCATTTGCTGACGGAACAAGGGTTTATAATTTGCTGTTTTATTTACTTATAGTTATAATTTTGTTATAAACTGGGCTGAGCACGTTCTTTGTTTTGTGTTATAATTGTAAGTTGGGTGGCAGGGAAGACCAGTTCTGCAGGGGTTTGCTTACCTGCACAACTGATTGCTGACCCTTTCTGCTAGTGTTATTGTTATTTATTTTATGTAATATGTAATTTCATTGTGTACCTACACTGCAGAATAAATCTATTATTATTAATCTATTATTATTATT